CAGGAACAAGGGAGGAACGGGAAAGGCAGTGAGAACGCTCACGCCTGTCCTGGACTTGGACTCACCCTGCCACCACTGAATCTCCTGGCACCTAGAAATGCGCCCTAGCTTACACTCATTGGGGACAACTCATCCCTCTTTTGAGTGTGACAACATACACAGGACTGCACTCTGGGTGGTGTACCTCTTAGGAGGAACACTATGAAAGCCAAGGAATTTTTCTTATTTTGGTAAAATATACACAAAATTGACCATTTTTAGATGCACAGCTCAGTGGTATTAAGAGCATTCACACCATATGCGATCATCGCCACCATCCATCTCTGGAGCTGTGCAGACTTGCCAGATAAAACTGTCCCTGGGCTGGGGATATAGCTCAGTGGCACAAGCGCCTGCCTGGGGAGCGCAAGGTCCTCAGTTCAATTCCTGGTACCAAAACCATGGCCGTCTCCAGAGCACTCAGTTCCCATTCCCCACCCGCTCTTCATCACCACTATCCTCCTTTCCATCTCTATGAACCGGACTACTTTAGTCTTACAGAAGTGGAATCAGACGCTATCTTTTCTTCTGTAATCAGCTTATTTTACTGAGCATAATCCCTTGAGGTTCATCCACGCTGTAACCTGTGCTGGAATTCCCTTCCTTTTGAGGCTGAATGCCACTCCCCCAAAGACCCAGATGGTGACCTGACACTAGCTTGCAGTTTTTCAGGAGGTGCTAAAGCCCTGCCGGTGCCCCTAAGAAAAAGTAAGGCCAGAGGGAGGCCTTCTCAGGGACTATAGCGCCTCAGCCCCTCCTTTCTAGCTGCCCTCCTACCATGAGGCAACAGGCCTCTGCCAACAGCCTGCACCACTCCACAGTGCACTCTGCTACCACAGGCCAAAGCAACAGCTCAAGCCACCTGGCCCCCCATTCTTAAACTGCACACCAAAGTAAGCCTTTCCTCCTTCCAACACGTCCACCTTAGGTTCCCTCCAGGGTGACAGAAAGCTGACCAAAATGGGCTGGGAACGCGCTATTTCCACCACAAGTGGGGCTCTTACGGAGGCCCTGCCTCCCAGGGCTGCAGTGCTGGAGGGCCAGCAGCAGCACAGCTGCCCTGTGTGGCCTCACTCTCCAGCCACAGGTCCCCACACTGCAGACGGAGACCAGTATTCACTTTTAAAAATACATCAGAAAGCCAGGCATGGTGGCACACTCAGGAGGCTGAGTCTGAGGCCAGCCTGGATTACACAGCAAGACCCTCAAAAAAACAAAACCAAAAAGAAAGCACCGCACTGAATGTGTACAAACCTTTCCCCCCACCGCCTTTTTATTGTTTCCTTAAGTAATACCGTGTGACAGCTATTTACATGGCATTTACATGGTCAGCTCAGCAGACCACAGTGGCTGATCCCTGACCGCCCACGGGGTGTGCTGAGAGGTGACTGAGACTGGGCATAGTGGCGGCGCCTGTAATCCCAGCATTTGAGGCCGAAAACAGGAAAATCACTCAAAGTCTGATCTACATAGCGAGACCCTGTAGACCCTGCCCTAAATATAGAGGAAAAAACCTACATACAGATGATTTAGGAATGTCTAAGCAGCCCTAGGCTCCATGCAAATATCACATCGTCATAAACTGAGGTGCGGATATTCTGACCGTGGTACCTATGAGGGTCCTAGGACCAATGAGATACCAAGTGACAAACGCTCTAAGGAGGGCCTGGGTACATCTGTCTCCTTGCCTAACTCCCACCCACATGTCAAAGACATGGACAGGAAGCCAGACAGCCCCACCGAGCTGTGCAACAGTGTACCCTCCCAGCCTCCAGGAGTTTTATCTGCCTGATTTATTGGGAAGGTCCTTTAAAAGGTTGAAGCCCGGCCTGGTGGCACACACCTACAATCCCGGCACTCAGGAGGCTCAGGCAGGAGGATGGCCTCAATTCTGAGGCCAGCCTGCGCTACATAGTAGTGAGTTCATGCAGTCTGAACTATATGGCAAGACCCTGTCTCAGAAAAATAAATAAATAAAAGTGAGGTTGATTGAGGGCAGGTGATGTTCAGAGCCGCACCTCTGTAATTCCAGCTACTTGGGAGGCTGACACAGATCTCAAGTTTGAGGCCAGCATAGGCAATTTAGTGAGACCCTATCTCAATATAAAATAAAAAAGGGGCTAGGACTGTATGTAGCTCAGTAGTTCTTACATAGCATACATGAGGTCTTAGGCTCAACCCACAGTGTACCAAAAGAAAATAATTTTATTTACCAAATCCCAAAACAAAAAACCCAAGACGTGAGGTGGCACATGCCTGTGATCCTAGGATTGTGAGTCTGAGTTAAGCCATGGCTGCACAGTGAGACTGTCTTCAAGAAAGTGAGACTGAAAGCCAGTTACAGAGGAAGTCAAACACCAAACCTCCCACCAAGAGCATGGCTCCCCCTACATGGAGGACGTCTGCAAACGCTGCCACCAGGAAATTCATTAAAGGTTTAAATCTGCAGTGAGACACAATTTTTAGTGTAAGAAATCATGAGTTCAAGTCTTTGTTAAAAACTTGATTTGACAATTTTTGCTTGTCTGGTTCATTGCTTGTTTTACAGTACGGGGGATGGAACCCAGACCCTCTGTACTAAGCTACATCCACATGCCTTTGTTTGGCTTTTAAATTTTGAGACAGGATCTTGGGAAGTCACTTTCAGTTGCCCAGGCTGGACTCACACTTTCAGTCCTGCTTCAGCCTCCGAGCTCTGGGAGCACAGGCACACACCGCCATACCCAGCATGACTCTGGCATTCTGCTCACTTTTTTTCCCTCAGATTTTATTGGTACACTTTAGACATCCATAATGACCGCATTCTTCACACAGAATTTGTATATGATATAACTTCGTTTTTTTCCCATTCCCTTACCCTCCCTTCAAGCCCTCCCCATTTACAAAAGTTTTCCTTTCCCCTTTCCTCGCCCTTCATTTCACTCCCTTCACAGTGATCCACTCGGCAGCTCAGATGTATGAGCAACAGCCAAGTGCTGACACCTGCACCGCAGCCCGGGTTAGCCAGCTCATCTGAGGTCGCAGCCTCTGAGAGGCTGAGGGAGGAGGACTGCAAGCGTGAGCCCAGCCTGGGTAACTTAGCAAGACCTCAATATTTTTAAAAAAATTTTTAATTAAAAAAAGGGACCAGGAGTTCATGTGGCCCAAGTTCAGATAGTCTCCCGGCCTCACGCAAACAGGGTGTAGAAGGCTGTGCAGAGGACAGCTGCTCAGCCCAGCTTCCCAGTAGCACTCAGCCTGGGCTCTCCAAACAATGAGTCAATCGAGGAGAAGAGCAGCCCACGATTCGGTCACCTTCCGAAGCCCAGCTCTGAACACGTGAGACTTCGGGGGTCATTTTAGATCTAAACCCTCACAGCCAAGCTGAGGACAACAGCCTTTAAACTGGCTGTGTCCTCAACACCTGACATGTAAGAAGAGCTTCCTAAGTATCTGCTCAACAAATAAAAAGATGACTTGACAGCACTGAGAAGCTAAGGAAGGAGGACTACAAGTCTGAGTCTTACCTGAGCAACTCAGTAAGTCTGTCTCCAAAAAAAAGAACAAGGGCTAGGAATGCAGATCAGTGGCATAGCAGCCCTGAGTTTGAACCCTAGTACTGGGGTGAGGGGGACACTTACTAAAACAACTCTGCCTTCTAGCTCCATGAGTTAACACCCAGCTAGCTTGAATCAGTAGCTGCTGGTGGTAATTAAGAAAGCATGCAATTAATGAATAGACATCTTCACTTTAATAAAGGGATTGTGTATGAGTGTCAATGACAGCAGCCATCATGTGTTTAATTTTCATGTGGTATTGGGGATTGAACCTTGTACTTTGAACATGTTAAGTACAGTACATGCTATACCACTGGGACACACCCCACCTCCATCATGCTTTTGAAGAGGCTGACGTGTTTCCTAGTTGCCAGTTCCCTTAAATGCATAAGCTGAGCTTAAATGACACATTTGGATTCCCTCTGTTGTCTTTGAATGTTTTAAGAGTTAGTGTCATGTATCCCAGAGGTTCCTCCTGCTTTGACAGTTTCTCAGATTTCAGACTTTGATCAGAGAACTGGTTAGCCTTAAGATGTTCTGCAACATCGGGATCGGGTCGGGATGGTCTGTCATGTTTTTCTCAGGGCCAGATAGGATAATGGGGCTCGGGGGCTATCACAGAGAGGAAGTGCCCTCCTCCTATCACTTTCCTAAAACCACACGGGTTATTTCTGGGTCCAACACACATTTCACCCAGTCCTGAGGTCTGTCAAACTGACAGGTGCTCCCTGAGCGGTGCTGTTACTAGCAGTGAGTGCCCCACACGTGTGTCTTGCAGATACTTCTGAGGCCTTGGGAAGTCACACTTGGTTTTATCTGAAAACTGCGATGCTGTCACTTTAAATTAACTTCCTATAAATAGCCCCCTCCCCCTTTTAAATGTTTTCTCTCGAGATTGTCGGGTGTTTTCTCTTTTTCGAAGGCACTGCTGGCTCAGCTCCCGCCACCAGCAGAGAACGCTTCACCGGTGTTCTGGAATCTGCACCATTAAAAAGGTTTACTTCCCCCTAGCACCGCGACCTGCGGCCAGCTCCTCTCCAGAGCTCCTAATAGCAGCCTCCAGATATCACGACCGCTACGCAGAAGCGTCCCGGCCCCTCCAGCGCGACGTTCATCTCTGCCCCAGCACACCGACCCCGCTCAGCTCCGCCGCGCTGCGAGGAACGTGGCGGCGGCAGGCCCACCGCGGGGTTTCTGCTGAACTCTGCTCCAGCCTGAGGACCGTGCGGGTCTAACCCAGAAAGGCCTCCATCCAGAGCCCGGGCGCAGAGGCGGCCGGGGAGCAGGCGCTCGCCGCGCCAGGACGGGGCCCGGCCCAGGGTGCTGACGCCGGGCGTGACGAGGCCTCCGGCCCGGGCAGGCCAGGACCGCGGCGCCGCGAGGACCGAGCCTCCGCGGCCGCCCCCGCCGGGCCCGCAGCCCTACCTCGCCGCTTGGCGCGCACGATGCCCTTCTTCTGCAGTACGAACGTGGACCCGTTCACCAGACTCGACACGACAGCCACGCCGAGGCCGAGAGACACCGCCGCGGGGCTCGGGCTGCGCGCCCCCTCCCCGGCCGCCGCCGCAGCCGCTGCAGTCCCCATGCCGCCCGCGCGCCCTCGCGCCTGCGCCTGCGCGCCGCGCCCTGTAGGGGGCGGGAACCCACCGGGGGCGGGGCCTGAGAGGGAGGGTTACGCCTTTGGGGCGGGGGCCTGTGCGCGAGGGGCGGGGCCTGTGCGCGAGGGGCGGGGCCTGGGAGGGCGAGTCTCGGGGCAGGGCGGGGCCTGAGGGGACGGGGCGGGCCTCGGGGGCGGGTTCTGGGGTCCTGCGGCGAGGCTGCGTCCTTAGCGCCGCGTCTCCGTGGACTCTGGCGACAGCAGAGGGGCTTTTGGCGCTGCAGACCAGGCCTGGGTCTGGAGCCCGGGGTCTGGGGCGCAGGGCTCGCGGGAATTAGATAAAGCAGAGCCTCTAACCGAGAGACAGCGCCCCGCGGATTTCCCCTCCCAGGCGGCGGCGCCCTGGTGCGGCCTGCTCAGCCGGGAACTGCAAGCCGGAGCCCGCGCAATCCGAATTCGGGAGCGGGAATCCTGCAAGTGCAGCATCGGATTACTACTCTTTCGCCCCTTCTCCTTCCTCCCCTCTCCCACTCTGGACTTGCTCTCCTCTTCTTTCGCTCCTGGGTGGCAATGGGGGTTTGAAATCAGGGTCTTTGCACTGAGCTAAATCTGCAGTTCTTTTTATTTTATTTTATTTTAAAAATATATTTGGTTGTTGCAGGGTCTCACAACGCGGCTCAGACTCGTGGTGAGCCTACTGCTTCCAGCCTCTGCAGCACTGGCATTACAGGCGTGTGCCACCACGCCCGGTCTTGGTGGCCTGCTCAGCCCTCTCGGGGCGGGGCTGGCGCAGCACGTGGTGCCAGGGACTGAACAGAGCGAGGTCCCCACGCTTGCCTAAGCAGGCGCCAACTCAGCGGCCCCAGTTCTTTTTACTTTTGAAACTGGACCGCCTTAAGTCCCTAAATTCTCAGGTTGGGCTCCAACTTGTAATCCTCCAGCCTCAGCCTCCCAGAAGTGTACAGCATCACACCTGGCTCACTTTTTCTTATTTTGTTTGTTGTTTTAGTTTGCATTGTGGTTTTCTGTATCTTTTCGAGAGCAGATCTCAATTTGTAGTTGAAGCTATCCTTGAACTCACTCCTAGCCCAGGCTGGCCTCGAACCTCTAGAGTCTCAGGATTACAGGTGTGTGCCACCAGGCTTGGCTCCCTTTAATTTTTGTTTTGTTTTCTTTCTTTTCTTTTCTTCTTTTTTTTTTTTTTGTATTTTGTACAGGGTCTCACTATGCAGCTCCGACTTGTGATCTTCCTGTTTTCAGACTCCCCAGTGCTGGGTTTACAGGTGTGTGCCACCACACCCAGTCTTGGTGGCCGGCTCAGCATGTTTGGTGCATGGCTGGTGCAGCATGTGGTTCTAGGAATAGAACCCAGGTCCCCTGCTCTTGCCAAGCAGGTGCTTAGGCTGCTGAGCTATCTTGCTGACCCAGCTCCTTTTAATTTTTAATAAAATATAACGGAGACCTAAAAAACAGAAAAAGGGGCCTTTAAAACTACTAAATCAAGGGGCTGGGAGGTGGCTCAGTAGGATAAACGCTTTCCTGGCAAGCGTGAGGGTCTGAGTTCAATCCCCAGTTCCGAAAAAAAAAAAAAACCTAAATCATACAACTCATTACTATTTTCCTATATGATGTATGTACTTTTATGTTTCCAATTATAATACACAAGATTTCCCTTTTATTTAATGCACTATTATAGTCAAGTTCTATGTTTTTCATAGTTGTGATTATTTTAATGACTATATTTTTGGCATAAATTACTTCTCTAAGCATTCAGCTATTGGTGGCTGTTAGGTTCTTACCACTTTTTACTTCTATTATAAATGATGCTGTGACATTTTCATCAATTTTGAAAATACTACAATACTTTTGCATGTCTGGCCAGCATTATTTTATGAAGCAATATAAAATCAGACTATTAAAAAAAATAAAATAAAATCAGACTATTGGCCGGGTATGGTGACCAACTTCTGTAAGCTCTTGAGAGGCTGAGGCAGGAGGATCACTGGGAGGTCAAGGCCAGCCACCCTGGGCTATCTAGCGAGTTAAGGCCAGCCTAGACACATTGCAAGAACCTGTCTAAAAAAACATAAAAATAAAAAAGTACTATTCACGTATGAAAACTTTGATCCTGAGTAAATCTATTTATTGCTTCTTACGTTGTAGGAGCATGAACATATGCCCTAAAATCTGCCCTCCGTCCCTGTCCTGTGTGACCTGGCGTCCGCCCTCCTTCTCTAGGAACTTGCCCATTCTAGGTACACCATGGGGGAAGAATCACGTGATAACCACCCTTTGTGACTGCTGATCTCACTTAGCAGCACACTGTCAAGATCTGTCCATGGGGTGACGGGTGTCAGAACTTCATTCCTTTTCACAGTTGAGTCATAGTCTCTGATAAGAATAGGCAACATTTGGTCTTTTTGTTTGTCTGATGCACGGGCTGTGCCCACCTTTGGGCTGCTGTGGCTAATGCTGCCGTAAACACTGGTGTGAAAGTCTATGCTTGGGCCTCCATTTAAGTCCTTTGGGACACACACCTGGAGGTGGACTTGCCAGGTCCTGTGGGGATCGTGTGCAGCGTCCTGAAGCGTGGCCAGGCTTTCCACAGCACGCGTTCTGCACGCTCACCCAGTGTGGAAGCCTCCTGTTCATTCACATTCCCACCAACACTTGGTATTTCCCAGCTTTATTGTTTTAAAGCAGCCATCCTAGTATCTGTGAAGGGCCGGGGAGCTGGCTCAGTGTAATAAGCGCTTCCCTGGCAAGTGCAAGGGCCTGAGTTCAATCCCCGGTTCTCAAAACAAAACAAAAAACCTAGTATCTATGAAGTGGTTGCTTTTTAAAAAAACTATATTTTTAAAACATAAATGATGTTGGGGCTGGTGAGATGGCTCAGTGGTCTAAAGCACCTACTTAGAACAAGCTTAGCAAAGCACAGGGACCGTGGTTCAATCCCCCAGCACCACTTGCCAGCCAGCCCGCCCCCTGGTGGGCTGAGCTGGCCACACACACACACACACACACACACACACAAATTAAAATAAAATAAATTTTAAAAAAAACATAAATGATGTTTTGCTATTGTTATTGTTTGGTGGTACTAGGGACTGAACCCAGGGCTTCACTGTTTACTCCAGGCATGACAGTATTAGTTTTTTTTGTTGTCCTTTGTCTGTGTGTTGTTTGAGATTGGGTTTCACTGTGCAGTTCAGACCTGCCTTGAACTCACTGTGTAGCCCAGGCTGAGTTCAAACTCGGAGTGATCCTCCTGCCTTACCTCCCAAGTGCTGGGATAGCAGGGGTGTGCCCCCACACCTGGCTTGTGGCACTATTGTTAGTATCACAAAGATATTCCAGGGTTTGTCATACAAAGAAAATCCATTCATATCAACAATTATGCAACCCTGGCAATGTCAAGTAACTCAGTGACAGTAATGTTGTCCAAAACAAAACTGGATATTGATATAGCATAAGAACAAATAAAGTACTGCTCTTATCCTTAGATATGTACAATTATAGTATAAACCTTAAGACAAATCAATTACTAAATGCAATAACTACACCTCCACTAACGACAGAAAAGAATTCAATAGTAGGGCCAGGGACATAGCTCACTAGAATAAGCACCTGCCTGGCAAGCATGGGGTCCTGAGTTCAATCTATACTGAAAAAAAAAAAAAAGAAAGAAAAAAGAAATTCAGCAGTAGTAACATAGACGTCACTATGTAAAGAGTAATAGTGCTTAATGATTATCCTGTTAAAGATATACGGGCTTGGAAATGGGAGAATGTAAGAGAAAAATGGAAACATTAAGCTTTGACAGATAAGAATAAAAGAGTGAGACAAAGATTATATTATGGAGTAGGAGGATTTTATGAAATTGGATAAAGATAACAAGAAAAAAATAGAAGATAGAAAAAAGGGTCAGGCATGGTGGTACACACTTGTAATCCTAGCACTCAAGAGGCTGAGGCAGGAAGATCACCTGGAATAGTTTAAGGCCAGTCTGGCTACATAGTTCAAAGCTAGCCTGAACTACACAGGGAGACCCTGTCTCAAAAAAAGAAGGAAAAAAAGAAGAAAAAGATAAATAATAGAAGAAAAAAGAGTAAAAAGAAAGAAGGAATAAGAAAAAGGAAAAATGAGTCCCAAAACAGTAAAGAACTTTTTAATCCATGTTTTGAATGAGTAGTTTCCTCCCAAGATCTACATTTTTGGAGTGTAGCAGGTCTCAACCCAGCCTTCTGGCCCGTGAGTTGAGGTTCAGCTCTGTCCCAGGGACCCTTTTTGTACCTCAGACTGTGGCCATGTGTACCCGTGCTGAGAGGTGTCCTTGCCCACGTTGTGGGACAGGGAAGGCAGGCAGACCTGGGCCGGCGCTGGACTGGACACGGGTGGCATTTTCAGCCCCGGCTGATTCTGAGCACAGTTTTAACCCAGTGTGGCTTACCACAAGAGTGGGGCTCCATGTCCTTCCAGCCTGAGTTTGGTTTGTTTGTTTGTTTGTTTGTTTGTTTTGAGACAGTCTTGCTGTGTAACTGAGGCCAGTGCTGTCACCCTCTAGCGATGGAACTCCAGATACGTGCCACCACACCTGGCAAGAGTCTGGCTCTTCTGGCTGGGCATAGTGGTTCATGCCTGTAATCCCAGCACTAGGGAGGCCGAGGCAGGAGGATTGTTGCAAGTTCAAGGGCAGCCTGAACTGCATAGTGAAACCCTGTCTCAAACACACACACACACACACACACACACACACACACACACACCCCACAAAACCAAATCTGGCTTTTAGAAGTATAAGAGAACAAAAATGTGGGGCCGGGGAGATGGCTCAGTAGAGTAAGCGCTTCCCCTGGCAAGCACAAGGGCCTAAATTCAATCTCCAGTTCTGGAAAAAAAAAAAAAGTGATGGGTGTCACTTCTGAGAATGGCTTCAGGAAGCCTCTGATCTTTGTCTAGCTCCCTCTGTCCTGGGTCCTCCTCCCCAGGAAGCCAGGCTAAG